TGGCTACTCTATGGCTGATGTCATGCTTTATTTTGATGTCCGCATTCGCGGGACAGTTGTGGCAATTGTTGGTCCGATCGCAACCTATATATCAAATCGAGTCGTGGAGTGACTTGTATTCAAAGCCCGAGTGGAAAGACTTAAAAATACAGACATACAAACAGTTAGATATGTATAACTTTGCTAATGATCCACAAAATGCAAACAATCCAATGGCTCAGGACTTTAAGAATCGATTCGTAAGTCTCTTGGATCCACTCGACTATCTGTTTGAGGGCAAGAATTTCGACAAAGACATCGACTATAAGGGGTTAATGGAGGGCCGATTGGTTCAGGTCCACAGCAGGAACTTCCTGCAAGTGATTAAGAAGAATATCATAGAAATGGGATATCGAGAAGACATAGACTTTCATATATCCCAATACGGATCGGGAACTCAACCCGTATTCCTGGCTTCCAATCCCAAAATAATGAACGAAACTCTGGGAAAGGCATTTGATTACACGTAGGCTTACCTTTCATTCATAGTATTATTAACTCTTATTAAAAATGATAATACAGGTGTTAAGTATAAGTTTGATGTAATTCTATATACATTTCCTGTTTAAACTTTTTAAATATATTTTAGTACTACAATACTAGACATTAATTTGATTAATATTTTCAAAGAGAAATTTGTCTTTTTCAGAGTAAGTCAAATCCATTGCACCGGTATATACGACAACGCTATATATAATGCGTTAAACCCTCGGAAAAGTGGCCAAAAGTATGACCAAAAAGTTTCAACAATGGATTCCTATAATTATAACATTCTTTCGTTGTCTGAATTGAAGGGAATATTTGTCTTATTCTTAATCGTCAACGGATTGAGTCTTATTTTATTGTCCACTGAATTGCTTTATAATAAAATACATTATAATCCCTTAAAACGGAAAAATCTATTTTTGCTAACTATACCAAGCGTTCAAGTCTTTACAATTATTATTACAATAATTACAGTTATTTTTATTACTAATAAACTTGTGTAATAACCACCATTACAGATGTCATTCAATCACTTTTAATGAATATAATAAAAAACACACAAAATTAAATAACAATTATAAAAGTAAAACAAATATTTAATGAAATAATTACAATAAGAATGTAATGGCAAAAAATGCTTTTTAGTAATTATAGAGAACATATTATGAAAACATACTCTCATATGATTAATGTAATTAATAAATAACAATGTGATCGATAAATTTTTATTTTTAAATGTTTATTGTTATACCAATTTTGATTAGTACAATGAGTGCTAGATAAATTGATAATTGATACATTTATTTTATAAGTACTCATTTCGTTTAATCCAGGTTAATTTTACAAATTCACTATTGACTGTAATCAATTTAGTACAACGAGTACTGTATTTAGTAATAATAACATTATTATTATTATTATAATGTTGAAGACATAATCTGATGCTAATTTAACACTAAAACCTTGAACATTTGTTTTTCAATAAAATAATTTTTACCACAATTAAAATCAAATCTAAATTAATGTTTTAATTTAAAAATCTTAAACTTTAAAACCTAGAGTTTATTGCTAATTCAAACTTATATTTCAAAATAATTGTGCACTAAAATGATACGGTACACATGATGCCATTTAATTTAGAAACCAAGCTTATGCTAACATTCATATCAGATAATAGCAAGGATAAGTGTATGAAAATTAAAATACTAAATACACTTGTACTAAATTGATTACAGTTAATAGTGAATTTGTAAAATTAACCTGGATTAAACAAAGTGAGTACTTATAAAATAAATGTATCAATTATCAATATATCTAGCACTAATTGTACTAATCAAAATTGGTATAACCATAAACATTTAAAAATAAACATTTATCCGATATGTTTTTAAGGTATATAAGTCAAGAAAATTAACAAATTTTTTTATTGGAAAACACAATAAATAATTGTATAAATTATTTTACATTTACTAACAAACTAATAAAGATGAATTCAATTTATTTAATAAGTTTGTTAGCATTAATGCCATTAGTGATGGCAAACCTTTATTATGATTTAAACGATTATTTCTACGAATCAAACGACTTTCCAATCGATGACTACAAACAAGTGAGGAATTCGCGTAATTTTACGGGAAAAGTAGTGTTGACTACCGGTTCTAGTTCTGGCATAGGGGAGGGTATTGTCAAACTATTCTCTGTATTGGGTGCCAGTGTTGTGGTCACCGGACTGAATGCCACTGAAATTACAAGAGTTGCCGAAGAATGTCAAGAATTGTCACCAAATAAATTGAAGGTATAATTCATTTTAGCGAAAACTTTAAATTATAGTACAATTAATTTAATATGACAAATAAAAAGCCATTAGAAATAGTGGCCGATTTGACCAAAACTGATGACGTAAACAGACTGTTGAATGAGACAATTAAAACATTTGGCAAATTGGATGTATTGGTGAACAATGCGGGCGTATTAAAGCTGTCACCCCTTAGAGATCCCAATTTTATGCATGTTTTCGATCAGACCATTAGTATTAATCTGAGGGCTTATCTAGAGTTAAGTCAATTGGCAGTCCCTTACTTGGATAAAACCAATGGCACTATAATAAGCACTTCCAGTATTGCATCATCACTCCCGG